CTATGTCGATGGCGAAGCGCTTGGCGTTCTCCAAGTTGCGGAAAATCTCGTCCGGGGGTAGCGTGATGCTCTTGTCCAGGCTGTCCCCGCTGCTCCCGCTGCCGCTCGCTCCACACTCCGCCATTTTGAAAGTGCCCGGCCAGCCTCATCAGCCATGGAGATATATGCGCATATATTTGACTGCTAAACGCCCCCGTGCATATATTATGCTAATGACCCCCGGGCCCGCCCCTCCCGCCGCTGAGGACTCGGCCGCCGCGGGGCGGGTTCTGGCCAGTCCTGGGTAGGGGTCGGGGAGGCTCGGGGCTGCGGTAGGGTGGGCGGTTATCCCGCAGAGGTGGGACATCGACACAGAACATCTGGTATGAGGTTCTTTCACCGAGCCGGTCAGATGCTCTGAGCCCTGCTGAGCTCTGCTGGCGGCCGAACTCTCCCTCCGAGGGGGCACCTCCCTCTGTAGAGGGCCCCAGAGAGCTGCCCCTTTGACAGCATTCCTGCTGGAAGCCCGGCCCTGCACGCCAGAACGAATGGCACGTGGCCTTGTTAGGCTGACCCACCATCCTGGTTCCCCAGTGACTGGGGACTTTCAGTGCTAAAAGTCCCATGGGAACTGAGGGAACTGGGACTCCTGCCCTGGAGGAGCCCCCAGCCCGGGAATGCACCTGTAGCTAGGGGAGATGTGGCTTTAATGGCCGACCACAGAGAGTGTGGGGGAGAGGCCCTGGAGACTGCCTGCCCGCAAGACAGGTGCCCGGACGTCTGCAGGGAACAACTGAGGAGGCTGTCTAAGCTGGAGCAGGGGTACTGGTGGGGGCAGGCCAGGCTCCAAGGGGTGTCATAGGGATGCCCCCAGTGGTGTGAGACCCTTGAGAGATGTTTCACCCGGCCAAGCCCCCTCCAGCAGTGAGAGGTCCCTCTGTCCTGAGAGATGTGTGTCCTCCAGAGGCCCTGGGCATTTGGGTAAGGAGCCCAGTGTTGAAAGCAGACAGGTGGGGTCCCAGGGTGGCTTTGGCACCCACCTCCCGGGTGACCCTGGGCCCGTGACTCCCTTCTTGGGCCCTCAGCCTCAGCCTGCACACGCAGAATGCCGCCTGCTGCCAGGCGGTGCACCAGGTGCAGCTTCAGGAGGGAGGCAGCCGAGAGTGTGTCTTCTGAGGGCTGGGCGCGTGGCTCGGGACAGGAGTCTGCCCCAGGGAGGCCCGGGCGAAAGGGCTGGAGGTCTGCTTGGGCCATTGGCGGCTGGGTATGCCTTGGGCCAGGAGCAGGAGGCACCCTCCACCAGGCAGCCACCCTTGTGCCAGCTACCCATGCAGTAAACATGTGGAATGAATGGAAACCCTCTGTGTTCTCTGGCTGCCACACCCAGGGGCTCAGCAGAGTTCCCAAGAGGCCACTGGTCGGCACTGGGCCCGCCTGGAGGGGCAACCCCCCCACCATCCGCTGCTGAGTAGATACGCAAGCCTGGAGGCAGAGGGCAAAGGTGCTGAGTGGAAGGTGGGGCGGGCAGGCCCATGTTGGGGTGCCTCTCTCAGACCCTGTGGGAACACCCCTCCCCCCTCTGCTCCTGGCTGGGTAGGTTTTGCCCCTTGGGTGCCTGGACCCTGGAGGCTGTGGCCCTAGGTCCTTGCCCACTCCGCCAACCCCTTGAGGGTGCCTAAAATAGGCACCCTTCTGCGGCAAGGTCACTCCTGGCAGGTTTGTGGCCTGCACTGCCTGACCCGGCTGGTGAGTGGGTGGAGCATGAGTGAGCCAAGCAGGCGCCCTGGAAGCTCGTCAAGGGACAGGTGCTACAGGCCGTGGGGGAGGGGGGCCAGGGGCAGAGACCGGCTCCTGTTTCAAGCGGCCAAGCCCCCTCCTGTGGCAGTGAGAGGTCCCTCTGGTAGCCAGAGCTTAATGTCCTGCAGCTGCCACTCTGCCGCCACCCCCGCCACTGGGAGGGAGCTCGTGAAAGGCTTGGGGCAGACCCAGGGCTCCTTCCACATCCCCTCCGGCCGTCTCCCCTGCCACGTAGCCTCTGTCCAGCTCCTCTCCTCCATGCTCCCACCCTCCCTCCACCAGGCCTAGCCCACCTTCCCGTGTCCAGAGGGTCACTGGCAAAGACCCCTCTCCACCTGCGCTTGTCACCACGGTCGTGCTCCCTTCTTCCCACCCTGCAGACCCACCCTGTGGCTGCCGAGGACAGGAGGAGACAGACCACAGAGTGCTCGACAGCCAGATTTTATTAGAGGCCTCCTGAGCAATCAGTGGGCTCCACGTGAGTTCAGATTCCGAGCACAAAGGTGTGCCCATGTGTACCCCCACTCCGAGGAATCCTTTAGGGATCGTAGTGGAGACCCCGCCCTCCCAGTCAGAACCCCTAGCCCACCAGGGGCCTGTGGCTGTGAATTCGTGGGGGCCTGGGTGCCCATCGGGGCGGTCGCCCCTTCCTATGAGGATACACCTTGAGTTCGGCCTTCACAAAAGGCAGATGTGCCCACGGCACGGCCTGCCTGCCAGGGGTGCCTGCCCGGCAGCGACAGGCCCTGAAGAAAGTCCTCTACCGGCCGGGCGCGGCTTGCTGGCCCGACACCTACGAATATCATAGAACCCCGGCGGCCGGGGACTTCGCAGAAGTCGCTTGCTGAAATGCAAACACAGAACAACCCCATGGGGTCAGACGCTCGGCGGAAGATGGGCCCGGATTGTCCTAAAACGACAACGATGCCGCCCACCTTCTCAGA